TACCCATGTCATGCAATGCCCGAAGAGGTCAGAAGAGGGTGTTAAGATTCCCCTGGAACTGGAGTTATGGGCTGTTGTTAGCTGCCATATGGGTGCTGGGATTCAAATCCAGGATTTTACATTGCTCTTAACCACTGAGCCATTTCTCCAGTCTGGTGGGGGGGCGGGGGGGTTATGTCTGAAGCAATTGTTATTCAATAGCAAATTTCAAATGGTAAACTTTAGTGATCAACCAGATCAGTCTTAGATTTTTTTTTTTCCCCAAATAAAAAAATGTGGGCTGGGAGGGTGGGTAGTAGAGATGGCTTAGTGGTAGGATAGTTACTGCATGCAAGCATGGGAACTTGTGTTCTGATCCCAGCACACATGTTAAAAAAAAACAAAACAACAAAACTAGTCACGGCCTGTTACCCAGCACCATGGGGTGGGGACACAGAGGCAGACTGCCTGGGCTTGCTAGCTGCCAGCCTAGTTTCAGGTTCAGTGAGATCCTGTCACAAAGGAATAAGGCACAGAGTGATAGAGCTAGGCACCTGGTGTCCACCTTTGGCCTCTGTATTCACGCACACACACATACACTTTTAAAAAAATATTTCATTTATTATTTTATGTGTATGAGTGTATTGCCTGCATGTATATAAGTGCACCCATGTTGTGCAATGCTGCAGAGGTCAGGAGAGGGCTTCGTATTCCCCTGGAACTGGAGTTAAAGATGGTTCGTAGCTGCTGTGTGGGTGCTGGGAATCAAACCCAAGTCCTCCGCAAGAGCAGTCAGTGCTCTTAACCGCTGAGCCATCTCTCCAGCCCCAACACACTTCTTTTTTTTAAACAGGGTCTTACTATGTAGACCAAGCTGGTCTCACACTTTCAGTGATCCTCCTGCTTTTTCTTCCCAAGTGCTAGAATTACAAGCATGTACCAGGCACGGGGTCTGGCTAGTTCTGAATTTAAAAAAATCAAGATATCCAGACAAGGCTTCTAACCTATCTCCTTCCTATAACCCCAAAAGAATGGGGGAGGGGGACTGACACACCTTTTAGGACTGATAAAGAAGAAGACTAGTGCTAACAAAGACTGCAGCATACAGTGACTCTCCAACAGGACCATCTCTTTCAGGATCAAGGCAGGGCTAGGGCACTGGTGGCTGCCCACAGACGCAGCTATTAGGACACAGCCAGCCTCTTGGGAAGATTCATCCCAACAGAAGGCAGAACCAGACAAAGTTGGCAAGCACTGGTAAAAGTGTTCTTTGTTCTATTAATCAAAATATCTATTTTTAAAGCATGGTTTTGGGGGGCTGGAGAGATAGCTCAGTGGTTAAGAGCTTTGGCTCCTAGCACCAACATTAGGCAGCGCACAAACAGCATCAGGCAGCTCACATCAGGCAGCTCCAGGTGATCTGAGACCTATGGTTTCTGTGAGTATCTGCACATATGCACACATAGCCCTGCCCCTAATGCAATACACAGGTACACATAATTGAAAACAAAAAATCTTTAAAATCTGGTTTTTGGGCAGACATGATACACAAGTGGCAAATTCTCCACCTTATCTAATGTATAAGCGGCAGTTAAAACACAAGCATGTCGGGTGTGATAGCATGTATCTTTAATTACAGCACTTGGGAGGCAGAGGCAGGCAATCTCTGCAAGACTGAGGCCAACCTGGTCAACACAGTGAGTTCCAGGCCAACTGGAGCTACAGGGAGACCCTGTCTCAAAAAGACAAAAATAAAACATCCCAAAAAACAAAACCCCCAAGTACACTGAAAATATGGTATACAGTCACTTTAGGGCCATGTATTTATGGTTTATGTAAATTATAAGTTAAATTTTACCTAGGCTTGAGCACATATATATGTATGTATATATGTGTGTGTGTGTGTGTGTGTGTGTGTGTGTGTGTGTGTGTATGCAAATATTCCAAATTCCAAAATACTTGCTGGTTGAAGGCATTTCAGATTAGGTATAATCAATTGGCATTAATCAGTTACAAATAAATGGATAATTACAAGCATTAATTTTCTAATGGCCCTGGAAGAAAGAGCTGTATCCTTCCTCAAAAGGTCATTTCTGAGTTTCTCTGAGACTAGGGAAACAGACAGTGAGAGGGAGTGCTCTGCTGTTATTCCCACAGACTGGAAATGGGCCCAACATTGCAAGAAGTAACTGAATATGAAAAGAGAGGGAGGCAGGATTCTTGAGAACTTTCTTTCCCTGAGGATTCAGAGTGGTCATGTTCCAAGTGTGGACCAACAGCCCCAGCATCACCTGCAACTTGTTGGAATTCACATTCTCAGCCCCATCCCATGAGAGTGAGGCCAAGGTACCTTCAAGTTTGAAAACCATGGCCTAACGGGGGCAGCCATCTGAGACCTTACTCCCCAAGGAAGCTTAAAATCAAGTGAAAAGACAAGACAGACACAGCTGCCCATGGCACAGTGTTGTCACTAAGGACAGCAGCAGCCTCAGAACTGCACCTGAGGGTGAGGGGATGACATTGCTACTCCTCTACTTACTCTCTGGGTGCTAGATGAAGGGCAGGAAAAGACCAGAGAGATACAGACTCCCAACCAATTCTACAGAGAAATGTCAAGGAAGAGTTGTCACTGTGAGAAGGATTGACAGGTTTAATGAGATTAGGAAAAAAGGATTAGCTATGGGTTTTAGTTACAACCTGAGTGTTGGGGATGTTGCTCAGTTAGCAAAGTGCCTGCCTGCCTAGCATTCACAAAGCCCTGGGTTCAATCCCCAGCACCACATAAAAAAACATGTGATGGTCCATGCTTGTAATCCTAACACTAGGAAGATGGAGGCAAGAGGATTAAGAGTTTAAGGTCATTCCTGGCTAAGTGAAGAGTCTGTCCCAAAGCAATAAATAATAATAATGATAATAATAATAATAACAATAATAAAGCACTTTAAGTGGGTTACAACCTAGTTAGGTTGCATTGAGCCCATCAAAAGCACTCAGTTTGGGGCTGGAGAGATGGCTCAGTGGTTAAGAGCACTGGCTGATCTTGCAGAAGACCTAGATTTGAATCCCAGCACCCACATGGCAGCTACTAACTGTCCATAACTCCAGTTCCAGGGGATCTAAGGGGTGGACTTACATATATGCAGGCAATACACACATACATATAAAATAAAGATAAAATATTTTAAAAAACCTGTTAACATGTGTCTTCCTTCTTTAAAAAAAAAAAGCACTCAGCTTGGAAAATGCACATACCTTATAGAATGGCTAAAATTTTCAAACACACAACTGGTGAAGATGTAGAGCAACTGGGGCTCTCATATTGCTGGTGAGAATACAAAAGGCTTTAATCATTTTGGAAAATGCTGACATTTTCATATAAAATTAGACACACTATGTGGTTCTTCCAATTCCACTCAAGTACTGACCCAAGAGAATGGAAAACATATGCTTATACAAAAGCCTGTGTATACATATTTAGAGCAACTTTATTTATAAACACCCCAAACTGGAAACTACCCAATGCATTTCAACCGACAAATGGACAAACTGTGGCATAATCATGCAGCTGACTACTTACTTCTCTGCAATAAATAGAAGAATTTATTGATATCCATTACAGCATGGATGAATACCAAGTACACTTAACTAAGAAGAAGCTAGACTTGAAAGGCTGTACACTAGATGCTTCTATACAGCATATTGTGAAAAGACAAAAATCTAGGTTTGTAGAAAGACATAGGGTTGCCAGGGCTTCAGGGTACAGTCGTCTAGAATGGAGCAGTGTGACTATTTTGGGATAGGAGAGCGTGACTATGGTGGCAGTTACATGATGCATTTCTATGCATTTGTTGTCGTTCACAGATGTGTATAATGACAAAAGTGTGCTTTGTTCTATTAATTAAAATTATCTGCTTGCTTAAATTAAGTGGTAGTTCGAGACTTGGGGTATCCATCTATGCTGGGGAGCTTTGTTCCAACACGAATAATACCTAACGGCAGAAAGCTTCCAAGTCTCAAGTCTAGAGCAAGCATTGAGAAGCAGTGGTAGCTCCTTAGTCTTAATAAAACAGTCTTAATTCTTCACTATTTTCTAAAGTGTCTAAAATTGGAAAGAGAGAGAGATGATCAGGGGTCTCTTTAGTGGAGCTGGATGCTGTACATATAGAGTCCCCATGAGTCTCTATATACGGTATATACCTCTGTATAAGTGTATATACTCTTGATTGACTTCATACTCAATATTTTTAAAAGCTTGTAAACTGCAAAAATTCAGCAATGCAAATGATTTCTGTCTACAGCAATGCAAATGAATTCTGCATGCTGGCAGTAGAACCCAGGGCTTTGCATACACACTAGGCGAAGCTCTACCATCGAGCTACATTCCCAGCTCTTTTTGTTTTATTGTTCTTTTGAGACAAGGTCTGTTATGTTGCCCAGGTTGGTCTTGAGCTTAAAATCCTCCTGCCTCCTGAATGCTGGGATTAAGGACACATACCTTCAATTCCAGCTTGTAAATGAATTTTGTTTGACAGAGAGTATCAATTTCTAACATTCAAATTCTCAGTTAAACCATTCTTTTTTTTTTTTTCAATTCATTTTTATTTCAATTAGAATCACATTTAACAGTCAAGGCCAAGCTAGATATGGTGACACATGAAATCCCAGCGTTCAGTAGAATGACACAGAAGGACCACCAAGTTTCATGCCAGGATGGACTACACAGCAAAAAACTTGTCTCAAATCAAAGATCTATCATTAAGAACTTGTGAGTTGGGTTTAGACTTAGAGAGCTGATAATAGGCAAAAAACACCTGATTCAGGACAAGGTGATAGAAAGAACACAACAATTTGCTTTGACTTTCTAGAATACCGTAACTGCTATTAAAGAACAAATTCAATATTAAGGGGTAGTGGGTATAAGAAGAGTTTCTTTATTAATAAGCCCTGATATCCTTCCTGGGCATCTCATCCTACAAGTAGAGAGCCTACATCTAGGAGAATCCATTCTTTTTGCCTATTACTATGGTTCCAGTGCTGACACTATGGAGGCTGGAGAGATGGCTCAACGGTTAAGAGTACCTGCTGCTCTTGCAGAGGACCCAGGTTCCATTTCCAGCACCCACATGGCAGCTAACAACCTTCTGTAACTCCAGTTCCAGGGGATCCTACGCCCTCTTCGGACTTCTGCAGGCATTGCAGGACACGGGTACACACACTTAAGTAGGCAATATACTCATACACATTAAAAAAAAAAAACAAAAAAACTGGCTCTATGGCTTTAGATGAACCAAAATGTATGGACTTTAGTCACAGAATCCTGTAACCAAACCTTTCCATAAAGAAAATAACAGTTGTTTTGTATGCCATTTATTTAGTAGTCGTCCTCTGCCCGTTACTCTCCTAGTAAATGTACTAACTTTAAAGATACATGGGTGAAGCAAGGACAGGGATTTCAGGAATGAGCCTTGGGTCGGAGGCCCACCACACATCACCCATTTAAAAACAAGAACATTATTCCAACACTCAACCACAGTCCTCATTTCTTTCACATGGCGTTACTTGCATCACTTCCTTCCCTGGGAAACACTATCTTTGTCTGTGTTTGTTCACATCTTAAGTTTCTTCTGAGACCCAGTAGCTCTCAATTCCTAGAGCTCTTCCAACAGTCCCTTACTTCCAGGAAAATAGCATGGCAGAGACATATCCTTGTCACAGTCCTGACCCCAAACCTTACAGATTTAAGGCTAACTGAATTGTCTTTCCTTGTAGAACTTAAGTTCTGTCTTGGATGAAACCAATTAAGTCTTAAAAGATTACAACAATCATTTGTAAAGAGCATCCATCAGTTTCAAGTTACAGAAACAATTTTAATGCAAACACTCAATAGGGCATCTTTCCCATTGCTCCCAAAATTTCATCTCTTTCTGCTGCTGTAGGCATAGATGGCTGAACTCCATTCTGTCTTCTTTGGATCATGATAGAATTCCAGAATCTCCTGCAGTTTTTGTACTTTAAGAAATGACTGGAACACCGTTCCCGGTTGTAATTATTTTCATCCATACATCTGGAAGAAGCATCGGATTCCGACAAGCAAGGATTTATGTCGGGATCTCTCAGTCGTCTTGTTGACAAGGGCATCCTGTCTTCTTACAGAGGGAACCGGGAAGGATGAGAAGCCGAAGCAGCGTCTCCTTCCGGGATGTCAATGGTGGGTGGCGGGCACAGGTGAACACACCTAGCTTCGCCCTGCGACTTGGCCACCACTCCGCCCGCGCCCGGGCCGTATCCAGCTCCAAACACCAGTTAAACCATTCTTAACATCATCTTGGTTCTCTTGTTAATTAAGAATTGTGTTTTTGCCATTTTGGAAAACCAGACTTAACTTTTCCACTGCATTAAGTGAATAAGAGAGCACGTTCCCAGGCTCCTTGGCAACTAGACAACTATAGCCAAGGAGAGGGAGGCAAGCCAGTACTGGTTAGGACTTCGAGGAAGCTGACCCAGCTGACAGATGCCCCATTTTCTTCTTCTCTCTTTCTTTCCTTTGTGAAAGATTGTGGACATAGGCAAATTACTGAAGCAAACTTGTCATTAGGCCATTGAGCAGACATTGTAGTAGAAGTGTGTGATAAAATGATGGTTCTCAAAGATGTGTCCATGAACTACTCCCAGAACCAGGAGTCAGTTGATTGGGAAAGATGGTCTGTGGAGATGCGTGATTAGGATAAGGGTCTTATGATGATGAGATCATCCCAGATTATCCAGCTAGGTCCTAAACACTGTCACACTTGTCCTGGTAGGAGAAAATGGTGATCAGATCATCATACACAAAAAAGGTGAAGATGGAAGTAGAAGCTGGAGCCATGAGACCATAAGCCAGAAACACCTAGAGGTACCATATACCACAGAAAGTAAGGAAAGGAACTCTCCTGCAACTTCCAGAGGGAGTGGCTCTGGTGACACAGATTTTGGACTTCTGCCTGCAGGGCCAAGAGAGAGTAGGTATCTGTTGCCAAGGTAACCTTGGTCACTTCAGAGCCTCATTCATCAGGGGCCCTAGCTCCCACCTTGGGGCTCACCATCAGTGTTGCTTTCCTGAGGCTGCAGTAGCTAGTTATCAGGATTTGGTATTTTCAGCAACCTTTGGTTGCCAACAGGACAGAACAATGTGTGTCTTTTTTCAGCTGTTGTGTTTGACCGTTTCATAATTGAAATTCAGCCCTAATATCATAACACAAATTTCTGGCCCTAACCTCCCCTTTCCTGGGTTGATCTTATTCACTGCCCTACAACCTAAGCAGGGTTAAGAACTAAATGAAGAGCAGAAGCAAATCAAACTCAAAGAACTGGCAACTGTCTTATACTGAGGAATAAACTTATCAGTACTGGCAGAACCAGAAAATATATGTAGTAGAGAATTTCTAGTCATTTAAAAAATGTGGTATATTGGAATAGCTAAGTAGCCTGTGATCTCTACCTGAAATACATTTTAAACCTTAAATGAAATTCATCTTAGATATAATTTGCTTGTGTCCTTGTCAGCACTCTGAGATGACTCGTTCCTGTGTTGCTGGTATCTGTGCAAAGGAAGCACTCTGGTCAAAGTCACTCTCCCTGAAATCAGGACCACATTCTACATTGTCAGAGGGCTGGCATGTCAGATGCTGGTGGCCCCTGCAATCCCTAATAACTCTACAACTGGCTGCACCTGTGGCAGAAAGCAAAATGCAGACCAGGCTTGAGAGCATACTGTTGTGACCTTGATGGTGAGCTCACACTGAAAAACACATGCTTTCTGTTATCTGAAATGCCTCCTGCAGACATTGAGACACGTGTAGTAATGTTCTGGGCTTAGCTGTTATCTCTTTAGTGTCTAACCAGAACACAAGTGCCCTCACAGATGCCATAAGTAACCTATTACATCACTGAGAGGAGCTAGATTGAGCGTCAGAGTCATAGCTCACCCTCCTCACAACATGTCTACTACCATCCCTTGAAGTGACCCAGAACCACTGTGGTCCCTCAGTATCGACTTTTTTCAGTGTTCTGGATTCAGGACACAACAGAAGGAAGAATTTCCACACTGACCTCATCATTGTCCAGGTTCCTGTAGAGCTTTTCTTAGTGAAAGCAACAATTATATCTTATCTCATTCTAAAAGTCAACTGAGATTAACATCAACTTCAGAACTGCTGATTGTACACTGAGTTATCACAACAAAGATTGCAGCTTTAAAGACTTATTTTATTTGTCTAGCCATTAGAGGTACCCATGCCTGTGTGCATGCAGAAGCCAGAAGGGCATCAGCTACCTCTGAACTGGAGATGGAGTTACAGATGCTTTCAGGACATAGGTGCTTGGACTGAAACTCCAGTCCTCTCGATAGAGCAGCAAGCAGTTTTAATTGCAGAGCCATCTCTCCAGCTCCAGTGGCTGCTTTTTTGTTTAGATCAATTATAACTGAGTACGGGCTTAGCACAACCATGTCCACCACACAGCCTTATTAAATCATCTACAACACCCCTATCTCTAATGCTGCTGAAAGAGTTGTCATTGGTCTAGGATACAGACAAAAACTAATTCCAACCTTCCCTTCATTCCCACACATCACAGTGGCCTTAGTAGATTCCCTTGTACCTGTCTATATAGATTTAAATATCTAGCCATGAGTGCACAAACATCTGAAGGAAAAGAATAAGCTATTAAAAGAACTCCCCAACCTGCCTACTTCTAAGAAAAGTGGCTCCCTCTGTTCAGTGTTTGGATCAGTTCTGCTTGTTCACCTTTGCTATGAAATAATTCTGAATTATAGGTAGGGGAGAGGATCTGAAGATATGTAGATAAGTATTAACCATTAATGTGCCCCTCCCCCAAAATTACTAAGATTTTTTTTGTTCTAAAGTGTTTACTTTTTATCTCACTTGGTAGTATTTTAAAAAAGTAAGTAGCGGCCTCTCTTTGAAGAATTAAAACTAGTTTTTCTTTAAAAAGTTCTTTAGTTACAGGAACAGTAATAGGTAAGAGTCACAGAACTCAGCAGAAATGATGCCTAGAACACAGGTTCACTCAGAATTAACCACAAGGTGGCGCCGCTTCAATGCTAGTTTACACTGAAGTCCAGGAGCACAGCCTTGCCAGAGAAGTTTCTTCACCATCACAGAAATGACTGCAAACCTTAGACCTTCCTGCCCATTTTATGCCTGACTAACATAGAACAGATTCTGACCATCTCACCCATGCAGACTGGTCCCAGTCTCACTGAGCACTAACCAATCACCAAAGAGGGGTACAAAGGCCTGAACACTTCAAGTTACACAAAGTGAAATGCTGATAGTTCATGGGCTCTTAAATCCAGACTGGTATAAACAAACAGGAAGGAGGCAACTCTGGGATGCAAAATAATTCCAAACAATTCACAGAGATACTTCACTCTCAGAAGAGTAGAGCTTAGCTCCCCACCCCTTATGTGTGAGCTGTGCATAGTGACCTTGCAAACAGCACAATTTGTTCCTTATATAGTAGGTGGAAACAGGGAGGGAAGGAAGGAGAACAACTTTGCCATGGAGACATTGGGCAACCACAACTTTGGCCAAGTGATCAAGGTCAATATCAGAATTACAATGCTGGTATGTACCATTAACTCTATGGAAAGAGAAAGTCACCCCACCTCTGTGAATTCTGCCTAGAAATTCCCAAGTCCAATTTCAAGAGAAAAACATCAGACACATTCCAATAGATGGGCAACCTACAAAATATCAGACCAGTATTCCTCAAAACTGTCAGGGTCATCAAAACAAAAGAAGTTTGAATCTATGGAGACAGGACATCTAAATGTAGACGTGACATAGTAATGTGGGACAGAAAAAAGGGCATTAGATAGACCCTAAAACACAGATTGTAGTGGGCATCAATACTGGTTTACTGGCTACATCAAATATATCACACTATGTTAATAACCTGACTATATATCTAAAAATACTCCAAAATAAAGTTTATTTTAAAAAAAAATCCAAGCTCATCCAAGGCGCAAAAGAAAGATGTGCTTTCACATGCATAAGGTCTTCTGAGAGAGGTAATCAGCTTGTATTCCTTAAAGTTCCCTCAAACTCATCATAAAGGAAGTAGGTGAAGCAGAAAAGCACAACTTCACTGAAGGTCACATGAAGGACAACAGCAGCAGGTAGAGCTTGATGTCTTCTGAGCCATCCATACCTTCTGAAAATGAGTGGATCTAAGGCTATTGCTCTGGGTGGCAAGGAAGTGAAATGGAAATGACCCAGGCTTTGGAATCAGAGGACAATTCAGATCCACTGACTGTGTAACCTCTAGGAAAGCTATCTAAACTCACAAGGCTCACTAGCAGCTGTAGATGGGCTTGATACATACATCTGAGGATTAAAGTATGTGTAATGTGTTTAGCACTGGTGAACACTGAACAACTTAACTTTCCATTTCTAAGAGGTAAAAGTTATGGCAAACTACAGTCTAGGGGTTAAATTAGACCACTGAGTACTTTCATGAATAGGTACTAGTTACAACTATGATCATTTGTTTACATATCATTTATAGCTGCTTTGTGCCACAATGAAAGGATTAAACAGTTGCAACAGAGATCATAGGGCCCTCAAAACCTAAGGTAGTTACTATCTGGCCTGTGACAGAAAGCTGGCTGACTCTGGTCAAAGGTTGTGGGCTATCACACTTCCAAAGCTAACAGACACTTTTCATTCCTTATCACACTTCGCCTTCGAAGTCCTGAACTCTTTCCTCCTCCCTGAGGCCACAGATCTGAGTTTTGGTTCTGTACCTCCAATTCCCCAGTGCTTTGCACAAGCAGAGCACGAAGGGGGATTCAAAGTTCCAGACTTGTGAGGTCCAACTAGTCCATAGGCAGTAAATCACACTGGCACTTGCACCTGGGTTCCAACAGGAACATTACTCATTACTCAGACCGTTAGGACCAACCAGTGTCGGAACCTAGGAGTTCTTATTTTCAAAATGTAAGAAGAAGTTGGGCATGGTGGCACATGACTTTAATCCCAGCACTTGAGAGGCAGAGGTAGACAGATCTCAGCCAGCCTGGTCTACATTGTGGGTTCTATACCAGCTACAAGGCTACAGGGAGATCCTGTGTGTGGAGGTGGGGGAGAGGAAAAAAAAGATAAGAATACTGCCCTCCTTGGAAATATCACAAAAACTATACTGGCAGAGAAAATGTAAAGATACAAGGCACAACAAAATTTCCTTCAAATCCAAATTTACCTCGAAAACCAAGCTAGAGCCTTAGCAACTTTCTCAACTGGGTCTGCCAAGACATAGATCCTCTAAGTTCTAGAGTGTTGGGCAGTCAGAGGCAATGTCTCAATAGACAGTTCACTTATACCCGAGCTGCTATATAAACAACTCCTGTGTGTGCACAGTAAAATCCCTTACCGTGAGCCCTTGTACATACTTCCCTTGTCCCCTAATTCTCATGTACAAATATGTCAAGTGTAGCCTGTAGCTTCTTTTCCCTAATACTTTCTCAAACCAACCTCAGTCTGACTGAATTTTGTTTTGTCACTGTAGATTATCAAGTCACTATACTTCATTTGAATCAGTGCCAGAGTTCCAGATCAGCCTCCTCAACTCCAAATTGCAAATAGGAAACAGTTCCTGCTTTAATGCCCAAACCTCTTTCATCTCTCTGCACAAAGACAGTCAAAGGACACCAGTGATTTAAAAAAAAAAAAAAAAAAAAATTAAATCCTGCCTGGCTCCATGATGCGGCTGCAACTGCATTTGCATCTTCCT